CGCCCTTATCATATGACCCAGTATGACCCAAGTGAGTTGGAAACTGATGTCCACACAAAAACTTGCACACAGAGGTTTACAGAAGCTTTATTCATAGCTGCCTAAACATGGGAGCAACCGAGATGCCCTTCAGTAGGTCAGTAGATAAATACACTGGTGCATCCAGACAATGGAATATTATTCAGTGATAAAAGGAAATGAACTATCGTGAGCCACATAAAAACCACCGGGGGAGGGGCGCTTGGGTGGCGCAGTCGGTTAAGCGTCCGACTTCAGCCAGGTCACGATCTCGCGGTCCGTGAGTTCGAGCCCCGCGTCGGGCTCTGGGCTGATGGCTCGAAGCCTGGAGCCTGTTTCTGATTCTGTGTCTCCCTCTCTCTCTGCCCCTCCCCCGTTCATGCTCTGTCTCTCTCTGTCCCAAAAATAAATAAACGTTGAAAAAAAAAATTAAAAAAAAAAAACAACCCACCGGGGGAGCCTTTGATGCATGTCGCTAAGTGAGAGAAACCATTCCTAAAAAGCTATGTACTGTATGATCCAAACTATGTGATATTCTGGAAAAGGCAAAGCTACTTTGCAAAGTGGAAAACATCACTTCTGTAGGAGACAAGGGTAAAGCAGAAAGGAGAAATCTTTTGGAGGCTGGATGTTGATGAGAGAAAAGAGTGGCACACTTTAGGACACTGTAAAATAAAACAGAGCGCGCCCCCCCCCCCCCGCCAAGTGGAAGAAACCATAAACCTTCCTGCCATCAAGCACCCACCCATGTCCCCCCCCCCCCCCAAAGCCAACCGGGAAGGAACCTCCCCCCCCCCCCACTATGTGGACGGCAGAGGGAGCCCTTGAGCTATGAATCCTAGAAACCATCACCCCTGGTCTGCAAAATGCTACAAGTATTTGGAGATAGGAAAACCATCTTGAATCAGAAATTCAAAAAGACAGGTCATGAACTCACAGTTTGTGCGTTCGAGCCCCGCATCGGGCTGTGTGCTGACAGCTCAGAGCCTGGAGCCTGCTTCGAATTCTGTGTCTCCTTCTCTCTCTCCCCCTCCTCCAGTCACTCTCTCTCTCTCTCTCTCTCTCAAAAATAAATAAACATTAAAAAAAAACTTTAAAAAATTTCAAAAAGAACTCCAATGATTTTGTTTTAAATAGGGAAAAATAGAACAATACTGAGCTCGAGCAGGAAATGGAGAAAAAGTTTACAAGTATCCAAAGTGACAACTAGATTAAAATCTGGCCAAGGGAGGGAGAGAGTAGGCTCAAACGCAGACTCAAGGAGGGGCATCTGAGAAAGGCGCCAGGACATCCAGGAAGGTGAAAAGAAGATAAAAAATTCAAAGGAGTAATAGAGACTGTGATAGAAAGAAAGGAACCGCATATATGATGCCTGTCCCTGAAAAAGAATAACAAAACAAAGGAAGAAAAATGATATTATAGATATAGTCAGAGAAAACCTGCAAAAATCAAAGATCGGAATCTACATGGTCAAAGGACCCACCAGTTACCTGGAAAAACTTACCTGGAAATAATGATTTCTAGCGTATAGTCGTATAGTTTTTAGACTTTCAGGGTAGAGAAAATACCCTCAGAACACACAAAGCAAAAAAAATGAAATGATTTGTTATTTCTTTTTTAACGTTTTAATTAATGTATTTATTTTTAAAAATATTTATTTTTGGGAGAGCGCAAGTGGAGGAGGGGCAGAGAGAGGGGGACGGAGGGCCGAAAGCGGGTTCTGCGCTGACAGACTGAGAGCAGTGAGCCAGATGTGGGGCTCGAACTCACAGATTGCAAGATCATGACCTAAGCGGAAATCAAGAGGCGGATGCTCAACTGACTGAGCCACCCAGGTGCCCCTTAACGTTTTTATTTATTTTTGAGAAAGAGAGAGACAGAGCGTGAGTGGGGGAGGGGCAAAGACACACACACACACACACACACACACAGAATTGGAAGCAGCCTCCAGGGTCCGAGCTGTCAGCACAGGACCCATGCAGGGCTTGAACTCAGGAGCCCTGAGATCATGTCCTGAGCCGAAGTCAGAAGTTCAACCAACTGGGCCACCCAGGCGCCATTTATTTATCTATTTATTTATTTATTTTTGAGAAAGAGAGAGGGTGCAAGTGAGCGAGAGGCAGAGAGAGAGAGGGAAAGAGAGAGAGAGAAGCAGGGCTCAAGTTCACCCGATGCGGGTCTCAGACTCACCTGATGTGGGACACGAACTGGCAAACCACGAGATCATGACTTGAGTCGAAATCAGATGCTTAATGACTGAGCCACCCAGGTGCCCGAGATCAAATAATTTAAAAGAGCAACCTGGGGCGCCTAGTGGCTCAGTCAGTAGAGCTCGATCGCAGGGTTGCGAGTTCGAGCCCCACGCTGGTTGTAGCGATTGCTTAAAAAAAAAAAAAAAAAAAAAGAAAGAAAGAAAGAAACATTTGGAAGACAAACAGAAGAGCAAGTTCATCAGGCTGGCCTCAAACTTCTCAAAGCAGTTGCAGAGCAAGACAGTGACAATGCAGCATTTTCGAGAAACTCAAACTGTATTTGCCAGCTTCTTCTTCAGTTAGATGGGGCCATGGAATGACATTGTCAAAGTAGCTGCTTACTCAAGACCAGGGTGTCCAGTAATGAGATGTTTTTAGATGACTAGCTACCAGAGGAAAGCCCCTATTGTAAAGGCTGACAGTCCAAGGGTGAGGGAATCAATGTGAATAGTGAGCCTTTCTGAAAATATTTACCCAAACCCTATCACTCCCGGGACCTGGGGACGTCATTACAAGGCGTGTTTGGTAGCACACTGAGCCAACAGCGAAGCGAACTTAAATCACGACTCTGTCTCGTGTTTCTAGAATCTTCGACTAGGATTACTGGATCCCAGTGGTCAGTCTGAGTCCTTGAAAATCAATCTGCACTCAAAACCGGTATTCAGGAGCCCCTGGAAAGATCTGTGTATTTCCCTTTCTCCCGAACACTGAGCGGTGTGCCCAGTTGGGGAAGTCTGCCAAGAAGGCTGAGAGTGTATCCCCGTGGTGTTACAGCAGCGTGTGGCTTCATGGTTGTCCAGCTTCCTCGTCATTCAAGGGACACTGAGGCTGTGAACCGACTCGTGCCTGGAAGTTGGGTAGAAGGCTGGCGCTTTTAGCTCTTCCGTGTAAAGAACAGCGAGCGAGTTGATTTTCTTCCTGAGAAACCTACGATCCGTTTATCACCACCTGGTCAACCACTGGTCTCTCTGGTCAACCTCTCCCAAGGATCTGATTAGTAAGTAATTCCCTGTACCTGGTGTCATAACCACGATCGCTTTGCACCTTAGGGATTGCTTGCCACCACCCGAGCTCAGTCACGGCGGGTTCTGCTGCTCCCCCGAGACAAGTAAGCCCATTTCAAAGATAGTCCTTTCTACCAGCATTCAAAGACTAGAACGACAAGTCAAAAACGTTCTTTTTTAGATTTCCTATTTCTCATGAAAGATTACGATGAGCCTTCTGGGTTCAAAAGACAGTGCTTCCGAACTTTATTTCTTTTTTGGGGGGGGGCACGGTGCTGTGATCTACTGTAAGATTACATTTAACAATATGATTTGGCATATTTATTTATTTATTTATTTATTTTTAACGTTTATATACTTTTGAGACAGAGAGAGACAGAGCATGAACAGGGGAGGGGCAGAGAGAGAGGGAGACACAGAATCAGAAACAGGCTCCAGCACAGAGCCTGACACGGGGCTCGAACTCACGGACCGTGAGATCATGACCTGAGCCGAAGTCGGACGCTTAACCGACCAAGACCCAGGCGCCCCTATATATAGGTTTTTTTAAAAAAAAATTTTAATGCTTATTTATTTCTGAGACACAGAGAGACAGAGCATGAGCGGGGGAGGGGCAGAGAGAGAGGGAGACACAGAATCCGAACCAGGTTCCGGGCTCTGAGCCATCAGCACAGAGCCCGATGCAGGGCTTGAACTCACGGACTGTGAGATCATGACCTGAGCGGAAGCCCCACGCTCAACCGACTGAACCCTCCAGGTGCCCCTATATATAGGTTTTGATTGAGTTATGGTGACATACAACCTTGTGCAATGTAACGATTGGACGTTGTCTTCGCCGCAAAATGTTCACCACAATGAGTCCAGGCACCACCCATGACCATAAAAAGTTACAAAAAAGAAAATTTTTCTGACGATGTGAACTTTCAAGATTCACTCTTCACTCTTGCAGCAGCCTTCAAAAATGCACTAAGACACCATTGACTACAGTCCCCAGGCCACACACCACATCCCCGCGACCTACCCGTGTATGTATCTGTATATAGGCATCCGTATCTATTTATAAAATCAGCTTGAACTATAAGAGATAATATATTGGATACACATACTATATACTCTGTGGTTTTCCTCCAATTCTGCAGCATTTAAAATTTTTAACAGTGCTGGTCATGCCCCACTGAATTGATGACTGTGACCCACAGCTTTAAAAACTCTCCTCAGAGGGGCGCCTGGGGGGCTCAGTCGGGTAGGTGTCTGACTTTGGCTCAGGTCAGGATCTCACGGTTCGTGGGTTCGAGCTCCGCGTCAGGCTCTGTGCCGACAGCTCGGAGCCTGGAGCCTGCTTCGGAATCTGTCTCCCTCTCTCTCTGCCCCTCCCCCACTCATGCTCTGTGTGTGTGTCTCTCTCTCTCTCAAACATAAATAAACTTTAAAAATAAATAGAGATAAAAAAATAAAATAGTTCACACATCCCAAGAGTTGTTTAGGCTTTTGCTATAATAGTCTGTTTCAGGCTTAGGAAAGCCTAAATGCAGCTGGGCATAACGGATTTGGTTCCCAGGATGGTGAGATTGAGCCCCAGGTCAGGGTCATGCTGAACATAGAGCCTGTTTGGGATTCTCTCTCTCTCTCTCTCTCTCTCTCTCTCTCAAAAAAAAAAAAAGGCCAAATTTAACCCAGTTAGTAAGTAAAAGTGCTGAGGCTACAATAGAAGTTTCCATATAAAAACCCCATCATCCATAATCCACGACCAAAACCCCGAGCTATTTACAGCCAGATCATAGCTCAGAAAAAAAAAAAAAAACACAAGAACAAAAACAAAAAACGTTTTTAAGGAGAGTCCTATCTCCTCCTTTCACAAAAGAAACTGGACATTTATTTCCCCTGGGAACGATTAGACCCTCCTCATGCCCCTCCCAGAAAATGTCGCCATCAGTCACAATATTTCCAGACCTTGTCCTTGTTATAATTCTGGGTCAGCGAGCACCATTTTCTCCCAAACGCGTCCCCATCTTCAGTGCATTCGCGGTAGATAAGGCGTCTGTACCAGAAGGGAAACACGCATTTTGCAAAGTCTACAGAGGAGAGAAGCAATCGGGATAAGAAATCTTTCTGTTTTGTACCTCCTCTTTGCCATCACACACACGCGTGCGCCCACACACACCATCCCGCTCGGCACCATCTACTCTGAAATATTGGTGGGGGATTGGGGTTTTGCTAAACGTTTTCATTTCAAGGTAACGTGGGTGAAGCCCTCACCATACGTCTTGGGGGCCTTGTGACTTCCACACTGCCAGAGATCTGCACTAACCTTATTTTCGCAATGTAATTGACCGTGGATTCCCTTCTCGGGACCCTCTGGCCGGTCTCCCCGGACTTCAGCCCTGGCGACAAAAGATCACCTCCCTGAGGTGTGCAGAGGCAAGGTACTCACCTTCTTCAGAGCAATACTTCCAACGTCCTTGGTATGTCTTAGTTAGGGAGCACCACTTGTGTTTTGCCTTGAACTTGATGCAGTCATAGAATATCCCACCTTTGTACTGGAATGGAAAGACGCACTTGCCATCTAGAGAAAACAAAGATCCTTCGTCCCTCTCTGGGAGTGTTAGTTGAGATGTTACAAAATTACTTTCCTCCTCCCCTGCTTGCACCAGAATCAGAGCCCCTGCCTGAGGTTCTGGTGGGTCACGTAGTAGCAGAGCTGTTGAAACCCCTACCCCGTGTCCCACTTTTCTCCACGGTATAGACATTGTTGGTGGTTTGCTTAGCATTTGACCCTAGTTCCAGAAGTCTATACTAAGGTTAGAAACATAAATTTGAGACTTATCTGTTAAACAATTTCCCCTCTGTCTTTTTTCTTTACCTTCTCACATACGTGCATACACACACACACACACACACACACACACACACACACACACACTGTATATAGCCTGGTTTATCTCTATCCACACTTTTCTGCATATATATATATATATATCTCCATCCATCCATCTATCATCCATCCAACATATATATAACTATACACAATATATATGTAGGGGTACACATGCACAGATTTTTTGCTCCCTCCCCAAATGAGTCACACGTTATATCCATAATTTATTTTGAGAGAGAGAGAGTGCACGCACGAGTAGAGGAAGGGCAGAGAGAGAGGGAGACAGAGAATCTGAAGCAGGCTCTGCACCCTCAGTGCAGACAGAGCCCAATACGGGACTCGAACTCACAAACCATGAGATCATGACCTGACCTGAAATCAAGAGTCGGATGCTCAACTGACTGAGCCACCCAGATGTCCCCATAACCTGAGTTTCTAACTCAGCATATCACAAAAATCCTTTTCAACATATCCTCTCCCCCCCCCCTTATTTTTAGAACTCCTGGCCTCCATTTAAGACAGCTTCCAGAACTTTATCTAGAATTGAACTCGCTCTCTTTCTTGCTTGCTTATATTTGCCCTCATGAATGACAGTCATTCTCTATCCACCCATTGACTCAAGACAAAAACGTTATCCAACGTATCCTTTTAAAGCTTTGTAGCTCTAGCTCCTTTCTAATGCCAATTCAGAGTCTGTGATACGGATTTTGCCAAATTTATTCAATATTTCCTTTATTCAGATTGTTTATCCTCTGCGTATGAAGCTGAGGCAAGCATTCATATATGTAAATCCTTATGTATTGAAGCATCTGTTTCTACAGAATGGACTCCCCGAAGCAAGATTATTAGGTTAAAGCACATATGAATTGTTAACACCGCTGGGAGTTTTTTTCTCAAAAGGCAATAGCGACTCATCTTTCCTACTGTTGTGCTCTTTTACCCAGATTTTCATTAGCAGGAGGCATTTATACAATTTTAAAACACTTGACTTTAAAACAGATGATTCCTGTCTTCCTTTAAAACAGATGGTGCAGTTGGCGTGCCTCAATGCCTCGCTTTGTGTTCTTCAATGTGATTTCATCATCAGTTGAGTGTCTGACTCTTGATTTTGGCTTAGGTCACGATCCCAGGGTCATGGGATTGAGCCCCGTGTCAGGCTCTGTACTAAGCGTGGAGCCTGCTTGAGATTCTCTCTCTCTCTCTCTCTCTCTCTCTCTCTCTCTCCCTCTGCCCTTCTCCCATGTGCTCCCGCCCACACTTAAATAAATAAATAAATAAATAAATAAATAAATAAATAAATAACAGATTAAAAAAAATAAAATAGATGGTCCAGGGTAACATGAAAAAAATATGAAGCCAGGGAGCATCAGAAAAGATTACTTATTATTTGATGCATTCGAGGCTGACACCATGCCGTTTATATGGCAATAATTGTGGTTTGTTTAAATATCTGATAATACAAGATGTTTCTCCAGCACTTTTTTGTGTATAATATTCCTCATTACTATTGGGCATTTTTCCTCTGTGAATCTTTTTTTTTTTTTTTTTTTTCAACGTTTATTTATTTTTGGGACAGAGAGAGACAGAGCATGAACGGGGGAGGGTCAGAGAGAGAGGGAGACACAGAATCGGAAACAGGCTCCAGGCTCTGAGCCGTCAGCACAGGGCCCGACACGGGGCTTGAACTCACGGACCGTGAGATCATGACCCGAGCCGAAGTCGGACGCTTAACCGACTGCGCCACCCAGGCGCCCCTATTTTTATTTAAAAAAATTTTTTAAAAACATTTTATTTTTGAGAGACAGAGCATGAGTGGGGGAGGGTCAGAGAGAGAGGGAGACACAGAATCGGAAACAGGCTCCAGGCTCTGAGCCGTCAGCACAGAGCCCAACACGGGGCTCGAACTCACGTATCGCGAGATCGTGACCTGAGCTGAAGTCGGCCGCTTAACCGACTGAGCCACCCAGGCGCCCCGTCCTCTGTGAATCTTAAAATCGGGTATTTTCTGTTATATTGGCAGAAATTAAAGAGTAGTGCCAGTAAAATTCGGGGTGACTCTATTTCTTGTTTTTGTTTCTGTTTACAAATTGCTTATATCAAATTTTATGAAAAGAGAAAAAAGAAATGTTATCAGGAAAAACCCCACTGCTTTCCCTGTTTTTATAAAATTATAAGGAAATGTACTTTCGTTGCAAAAGTCTTCTGATCAACTTACCTTTGACTTCTGGAAAGTGAGTCATAGTGTCTGAAAAAGAAAATTTGAAGCGGACATTTATTTCCCAATTCTTATGCTTTCCAGTCAAAAACATGGCAGGATTCTTCTATTATTTACAACTCGCTTTGTGTTCTTCAATGTGATTTCATCATTTACTTTAAGTCCTGGAGATTTCTTGCTGATATAACTCCAAAGTGCTTTTGGTCATTGATGTAAAATAGAGTGACTTCCTTTTCCACCAGTGTCTACTTTGTTCTTACCAGTATAGAGAAGAACAACTTACTATTGTATATCTATCTTATATCCAGCCACTCTCTTCTTGAAGCGAGTCATCTTTCCTAGTTTTCCTAGTTTTCCTATAAAGTACACATTCATATAAAATAATTGTACTTGTTATTTTCTCTGGTTTATATATTATTTCCTTTTTGCAATGTCACATGTGTTAGATTCCATCATCCCCACAATGTTCACTAGTACTGGTCACAATAGGCACATCTGAGCTTTGGACAGGGGGGAATGACATTGAGGTTAAGAATGTCCATTTCATGGGGCGCCTGGGTGGCGCAGTCGGTTAAGCGTCCGACTTCAGCCAGGTCACGATCTCGCGGTCCGTGAGTTCGAGCCCCGCGTCGGGCTCTGGGCTGATGGCTCAGAGCC